TAATTGACGAGTCAACAATCCTTGCTTCTCTCGGTTACCAGACAATTCTAGTGTAGCTAGTGTCTTATGAGATGAGTTCTTGATCTAAAAATCATCACAGTGTTTTCATGAGAAGAGACAGTAATACGGCTCGACGTAGAGCAACCGAAGCGTGCAGTGGTGCAGTGAACTCAACTGACAAGAAGATACGCGTATCACTGAACGCTTGGCGCTACATGCGTAATTGAGCGGCATGATGCCATCTCTGGCCCGACACATACAGCTTCAATAAAAGCCATCGGAGAATTTATGAGGGTATTTCTAGTGTCACATGGCTGGCCATACTTTATTCGTAAATAATTTGTTTTTAAGTGGTGACGTGCGCGGTGTGATGCTACTCCATAGATAATGTTCTTTTAGAATTAGATTTGTTTAATCGGTTCCTTACGCTTAAATTTGCTCTGGAGATCGAGAAATTATAGAGCAGCAAGAATTACGTCTCAGAGAATTCGCAATTATTTATAAATTTGAATAATTAATACTGTAATAAACGCAAGAACAGAAATAACGTATTTACATAAATTAACCTGTTGTTTTGTGTCACTTAGGGTGCAATTTGCGTTCATAATATAAAAAACAGATTTGCAATGAATACTAATTTACAAGGTAAGTAGGGAGTCTAATTAAACTAAACGACACAGTGAAAGTGAAAGACATTCTGTGGTGATAATTACAGATAAATGCGAGGTCGGAATAATAATTATATTGGAATATGGAAACGGAATATGGAAAGGAACGATCAATAGTAGCAAATATCATCAAATAAACGACGAGAGTGGATAAACAGATTGGAAATTCACGACAGTAAATAACTGCTGCCGAGAAGAGGTGTAGCCGCGGAGCTGTGCAGTGATTCATGAGTGATGTTGGTAAATGTGAATAAAAGTCCTGCTTTAATTGGCAACGCATGCGGGCAATAATTTTATCTTGGAAGCAGTCTATGGTTATATGCATACAAAACGTAACAAAATTACGTGCATTATCGTTTGTCCGCATTCTGTTTGCATCTAATTGTTTCNTATTTCTTTAGCAAAAGTGAAGTCCTAATTGTATTCTTTCCCTTTAAGTATCATGACTATTTCTTTAGCAAAAGTGAAGTCCTAATTGTATTCTTTCCCTTGAAGTATCATGACTATTTCTTTAGCATAAGTGACTTGATCATTCCTTTCCACCGACGTATCCTGATCTTATCCTGCACAAGTAATCTAAACGTGACATTCACGCCATACTCTGTGTCACTTCCTAATCGTTAAAGTGTTCTAATCGATTTTGGCATTTACAAAACAAGGTGGCCACAAAAAAGCGTAAAAAATATATTTTAATTGAGTCGTTCATGGAAAAGTCAATGCTCTTTAACTGTTAATTTGACTAATATATAATTTTAAGGGTAATTTAATATATGCAAGCACTCACACTGCTCACGTGTTTGTCGTCGTAATTTCTATATAGTCGATAGCCACATTATGCGCGCTGGAGCGTTACAAGCAATCCGATAGTCTGTGTTAGTGTTTGAGTTACAGACATCTTAAAACAGAATTATATTATGATTGACTTTAATTAATGTTTTTAAACTTACGAAAAAAAATCGAGCTGGTTTATGCTTACCGAACGTTTGTATTATGAAGCACGCCTCCCTGCCGGATGATAGGACACGAGCTAAAGGAAATATGAAAAAATCTACGGACTCTGGTGTCTATATTTCAGTATATCTGAATTGTAAAAAAAAAAGCAGTGAATCAAATTGCTTTAATAGAATATTAATTTTTTATACAATACTAATTAGTAAAGATTGATCAGTTCAAAATAAATGAAGGAACGCTAAACAAATTTTATAAAGACGAATTAATAGCCTTCAGAATTAAGTAAGCAGCGGGAAAGTAACGATGCAAGTCAAAAAAGTATTTGCAATAATAGTCTGAATGGTTTGCATTTTAAATAAATACGTTGATGTTAAGAGCATCAAATCATGCGTCTACATACGCTAGCAGAGGCAAATCTCAGACATATTATAGCCCAAATAAAGTTGATGATTAATAAAATACGTTGTACTAATATCCAATGAATTCCTTGCGATTAACATTGTTACAAATCATAACTAATTTTATGCTAAGTGCTTGAAATATTTTTAATGTATGTAATGCTGATTGCATAAGCTGAACCATTGAGAATAGACATTTATTTACAGCGGATCCGACAGCTGAGAGCGCTGCAGCAAAGCCTTATTTCGAAAAAATCAGTAAATCAAAATTTTAACCACAGAAATAGTTTTATTAAACATAGTCTCAATAACACGCTTAATGAAAATTGAACATAAATAATTAAGTTTGAGCGAAAACGGCAGAATGATTTTTATTTATTATATTATTATTGCTTTCATTAAGAACACAGATATAGTAATTTATATGTCACTAATAAAAAAAGAATATATATTAACCGAAATAATGAGAATATAGAGAGCTTGCAAGCTGCCCTGGCTGGAAGCTGGGCTTGGATGCTCTCGACGAGATCAATAAGAAGGCTGGGGCCAAACAACGAGTCTACTTTAAGAGCACAGAGCAGCTCTCAAACTCTTGCTCTTTAAGAGCACAGAGCAGCTCTTATGCTCTTACTCTTTAGGAACACAGAGCATCATGCAAACTCTTTATGAGTACAGAGCCGCTCTCAAGCTCTTGCTATTTAAGAGTACGGATCAGCTCTTATGCTCTTGCTCTTTAAGAGCACAGAGCATCATGCAAACTCTTTAAGAGTACAGAGCCGCTATCAAGCTCTTGCTATTTAAGAGTACGGATCAGCTCTCAAACTCTTGCTCTTTATGAACACAGAGCAACTCTCGAGCTCTTGCTCCTTAAGAGCCCAGAGCATCATGCAAACTCTTTAAAGTACAGAGCCGCTCTCAAACTCTCTAAGAGCACAAAACAGAGCATCTAAGAGCATCTAAGAGACAGCCGACTGTACTTATAAGTAAAAGCTGTTATTAAGCAGGCATCAAAATTGCGTCGTGGACAGCACTGGTTCTCCTTATTCCTTGCAGATAAGATTAATGAAAAAGCAGGTCGTTATTCTGCAAGATTTTTCTTACGTTATTTGCTGTGCTAGTTCGTCCTGTGCTTATGGTCATTTAAGCAGGGAATAATCAAAATAAATTTAGAGCAAAAAACTACGCAATAAATCTTGATCTCTAAAATCGCAAAAAAACTTCACTTCCTGCGATACGCGCACCGGCAGCTGTATACGTGCAGGCATTCCAGGTATTACGCTGAAATTTCTGGGATTTAGAATGATTTTTAATTTGCAATGTTTTACTTCACCAAGATTTTGCTACCAAAGACACTATTTGTAACTAAAATAAATAGTAAGTTATATTAATTTACATATTAGAAAGTGATATAGAAGTAGTATTATTATTAATTATATTTCTTAAAGTATAAATTATATTACTTACTAGATGGCTATCTATATAAAATAATCTGTCTATTGTCTCATAGTTAAAATTAGTTAGATGCAGCCCGTCGGTAAGCGATCGTATACGAGTGTGAGCATACAGAAGTTTTCGCATATATTCAATACAATGTTAATTGGAGTTCGAGCTAATAGAATGCTTAGTATCGTAAAAAGTGTTTACTCATTATCCCGAAATAGCACACGCATATAACACATACGTTCTGTTGGGAATTTTTTCTTCTAATTTTCGCATTTAGCATAACCTCCGTGAAATGAAAACTAACATTTCACGAACACAATGAGTTTTTTAGAGCTTGTGTCTTCACCACAGTTAAAGTCCATGGCATAAAAAGGTGTAAGAAAAGCACACGGCATTTTTTGTTTGTTCTGTCGACTGAGATAATTTATTCCAATAGCCATAATTAAAACGAATAATCGGTTTTATTGCAACAATTAAGGCGCAGTTGATTCAATCGTTTAATATTTTCATCTGGTTTACAAGTTTATGCATGAAAGTTGCTTTGTTTTAACACATCTGAACTCACGTGAATAAATTTCATTTAAAGAGAGAGCAATCGACTATAAAGTGGAAATATATAAACTTGCATGAAAAACTTTTTTTAATTTTTCAAGCTGAAAGTCTAACAGCTAATACAAGAGCATAAATTAGATGCGTATACCTTTTTACTTTACTGATAAAAGAAATAAATCAATTCAGTATAGCCATGCAATCATACGCACCGAAATTGTGAAATATTTTGAATGTATTATGTTGTTCGGCCGGTGTAATAAAATGAATATCTTTTTTAACTTTAATGATTTTATCAAAAGATTAAAATAAGTATAAAATTCTTTCATTAAAATTACGAGATTTAAAAGAAATTCGAATAAATATAAATTCATCTCTCATGAAATTTCCTTGGTATAGAAAAGTAAATTTTATTCAGTATTTATTTTCATCAAATACAAATTTGTTGGTAATAATTTAGAGTTCAATAATTTCTTGAAATCAATTGCCTGCTGAAGCCCCAAGCATAGTGCATTATGAATGATTTATGCATTCAGTACTGAATATATTTATTTAAAACAAGTCGGAGCACAATATGACAAATATTTTATTATTTGTTTAGCACTGGGATTTTCCTTTGACTGAAGTGAATGGAAATGCCGCAGTTTAGTTAACAAAATTAAATTAATTCTCTGCAATGGAGACGTTATCATGAGGACGGTCGTTAAGTTTGATCTGTTTACACCAAAAACGAGTTCATATATTTAATATTAAAATATTCCAATGTTTGATACAAGTAATGTTAACAGAATTAAAATCATTTACATATAAGCGTAAAAAATGCATGTGAGTTCACACTATATAATTCAGTTTTATTTATAAGATGCGCAACGCCATTCGACCAAAGCGCGTGTAGAAGCAGTGGGCCGCCTCTCGCAAATGGAGCCTCTGCATTAGACGAACGCTTTCAAAAGTCACGCGGACTTCAGTATGTCTTCGAAGCCTCCGAAGTTGAGGAGCGCGTTTAGAATTCCTGCGAAGTCTGCGTTTTAGTCTGCTGCCGTCGTGGGGATACGTCCTAAATCGTTGCTTTTGTTGAACTTATCCCTAATCCAGCAAGGCATATAACCTTCTAGTTCTGGCCGGACGTGTTATCTTCTAAATACATTCATGATGATAGGAATAAAATAACAAAATGCTTAGAAGGTCCTGAAATATTGGTCATTTTTGTTGGACTCGGCAGAACTGAGGAGTCTGGTCAAACCCAGCGCTGTCGGCATTCGCTCGCTGGCGCAGCATTCGTCAGTTTGCGTGTAGAGCGCTACGCTCCACCCAGTCTGTGCCATTGGCCTTATCTCCACATGGGGAGCCACTAAGAATATGGGCAGGAGTTGCTGTTGTGAACGTGCGCAGCGAACACATTGCTCCGCCCTGTGCACCAGTCGCCTTTATGCTGAATATGTTTGAGCTATTGAAAACTTTGCCGTGGTGTCTCTCTTTCAATTCCCGCAAGTTTTAATGCCGTGGGAGTCACATCTAAGCCTCGCTCTAAAGTTGCAATCAAGAAAAACACACCCTGGACCACCGTAGTCTAAGCTTGCTTGTGTTAACTCATATAGTACGTCGCTTGATGTGTTGAAAGCAGGTAGAAGTTTCTCATCTCCCCCGATCTGTGATCTGGAACAACTGTACTCCTGCAACTGTGACGCTGAGGTACGTTTTGCGTGTCATGGTCCTCCAAAAGCTCGACCAACAACTCGTACATGTTCTGATTCATAAATTTTGTTGGTTTGATCTGTCCGCTAACAAATTATGTATCATGTTTGTTAATTATTAAAAGTTAACTGTCATGCACTGCGATTGTTCCGGTGCCAGAATATATTGGGTTGAAACTGAGGTGGATTGTCACGGCAGGAAGTGATGTAATTTGGATCAACTCGCTCATGTGTTAACAAAGTTGGATCAATTTCTTTTCCTGTCACAAGTGCGTCCTGTCAGTCATTAACTGTGGCTAATTTAAGGTACTTTTCAATTTTCAAATCAATTAGTCAAACATGATTTTAAAAATTCAGAAGTAACCCGTGCATTCCGTTAGGGCTTAGTGATCGTTTTCATTGTACAATATTGTGCTCCAAGTTCCCACAGTTCCGTATTATGAATTTTATCTCTTTACGGAGGCATATAAGACGTTCATGTTAATTCAAAAAGTTTCAGCTTGCATATAAAAACTTAGGAATCTTGCGAGCAGCTTGTCAAATAAATTACGTGAATGCAGCTCCAATATATTCGAATCCTTCGATGGTACAATGAAAAAAATATTATTCAGTTCAAAACCATAATTTTCGAAAAAAAAGGTCGTCATGTTTAGTTCTTAAGTTACATTTTCATAAGATTGTTATTGGAATTGACAATTAGATGTGCTGGTCCCTTTACTTCATATTCATATTGTACGTGTACTTTTATTAGAGTGGTGTAGTTTTGTACCGAACTGTTGCTATATACAAGTGGTATTTTATATTAAACAAAAAGGGTGAACTAATCTTTATAACTTGCCTCAGCTGCACGTGTCTATTATATTGCTTGTCTCGATTCTATTATAGCTTGTTGTATTTGTTCAAACAACAGGTTTTTCATTAGTTATTCCTGCGTCGAAGGAATCAATTCTTGATTATATCTATCTTAATTATATTCGAAAAGTTTATTATAAAAACATATATAGGTTTCAACCTGTTTGTGATCGGAAAGACGACAATTTGCTTTGCCCTACTAACTATTTTTCATTGTTTTTTCCAAAGCCGGAAAAGAAATTTGATTCGTTTAACAATAATAAATTTATTTATTAGATTTACATTTAATACATCGCATTAAATGTAAATTTAAGACGATGCAATCCCAGCTATAGCTTATAATCAAGCGCGCAGCAATCATCGCCGAATTCGTTGGATCAGAAAATTCTGTTATTTTTCAGCATTCTTAATTCGACATAAAATTGAAAGATCGCTGAAAATAATTAAAGGAATAATCCTGAAAGAACATAAAACTTTGTCTTCAGAATAGTCAAATCAGACGAAAATTTTATAGTAAAAAAAATTCTTCTCAGAGAGCGCATTTCATTGCAATTAGTATCCCTGTAAAAAATAGTTTCAGGTTTGTGTGTATATGTTAGTAACACACAAACCTGAATGTATAGTGGTAATATTAACCTTATATGTAGTGGTAATTTATCCACACGTGTAATTCTGATCTCATTTTTTTAAAGTAAACCTTCTTCTATTTTAAAAAATTTATGACTTGATACATTTGTGAGTTAATGCAGTAATTCATTATAACACTGCATTATAACGCTGCTCTCTGATCCCCGTAATTGCAGATACTTTGATTGTTTATATGAAAATCTGACCTCGTATGTATATGCACGGTACGGGAACATGGAGACAACTCCACGATTCCAATAATTAATCTAAATAATCATCAGGCAATAATCATTAGTAAATGAGGCCTTAATGTTGTTATTTGGAGCCAACTAGCTGGGGACTGTGCGGAAGATATTGAGCCTGATTACATGCTATCAACACTGAGCTCTTGTTGAATACGAGTTTTAATTACGGAGGATAATTACGTGTTGTTATTGACGGGAGACTGACCGTAATGAGTCGCAGTAATTCACGGGTAGCCAATTAATAAGTGCATGCATCACTAATGCTATGGTAATTATTAGATGAAAAAATACTAATGGTAGTCATTACTGAGAGTATATATAATTACGTGTTTTATTTGTTGTATAAAGCAATTGAAAGTGATGTTTGTGTCGAGGGTAATCATTGATGATAGATATAATCAAAGATAATAATCGGTGGTGGTATGATTAATTGAATAAAAAGGACATTTGGAAGTGATAATCAGGGAAAAATGGATAAATGGTACTTATATAGGGTTGGTAATTGACGAGTATCAAGAATTTTACAAATAAATTCCGCATCATCGAAGGTATAGAATAAAATTATATATCTATTACAAAATTTGTTAAGGCATGTTCTCTGCATCATACTGAAGCCCATTTCCAATGACAATGTAGATTAATCTTCAGTATAATGGCTGTTATAAAAAACTGTATCACTTGCTAATTTGTTGCTATGGTCCTTTAAATATCATCGACACTAATTTGATCGGGATAAATTATCTTTTAAGCGTTTTTTTATCGCCGACGTGGTAAACATGTATATGACGGACATGATTAACAAATATGTATGACTAATATATTGGTAAACATGTAGGACGGACAGGATTAACAAATATGTATGACTAATATATTGGTAAACAGAAATGACGGACATGATTGACAAATATGTGTGGCTAATATGGCTAGCATCTGCCATCCGATGATCGCAGTGTCGTGGCGCCGCGGCTGACGCGCTATCGCCATGCGCCTGCCTACAGCGGCCACTTTACTGCAGAGTGTCAACTGAAAATTATTCTGTCAGTAAGAACAGCATCAACAGTTCTGATGATATTAACAGTCTCAACTGTCCTGATACAATCAACAGTCTCAATAGTCCTGTTAATGTCAACAGTCTCAACTGTCTTGTTATTTGGTAACAACCGCAACAGTCCTGTTAATATGTTAACAGTCTGACCAGTCCCGTTAATTGTTAGCAGCTGCATTACTCCTGTTGATAGTGACAGCATCATCAAACATGTTAATATCAATAGTCTCAATCATCCAGGTGTTATCAACAACCCCAACAGTTCTCTTAATATTAGAATTCAACAGTCCTGTTGATATTAAGAGCTTCATCTGTTCAGTTAATGTTTATAGCATCGCATGTCCTGTAGACACAGATAGCAATAAATTTACATGTCGTTTGAAGACTTATGTCAATCAACAAACCCACAGCTTATGTCAATGAACAAAAATCAATATCTTTTTGCATGAATCCGTAAGGAAATGGGAAAAATTTTCAAGATGGAATTATTTATTCGGATAGATATAAGCGAATATTATTATTTCAAGTATAAAAATTTATTCAATGCTAACCGGTGGAATTCTGTAGTACGAAATTGTTTAGAAACCATTTCGCACGATTGAGTTAAGTTTTCAATCATCAGATTATTGCTGAAAATTATTAAGTGTTTCTTTCTTTTAATATGAAAAACCTTTTTATCGTCTTCAGTTAACTCGTATGAGACACGAAATTAATGCAATTAAATATATTTAAAATTCCTCATTACAACTATAGCAACTCAGTTAAAATCTAAGTGAATAGCAGTATCAATAATTTGATACTGCTATTCACTTGAGTAAAAAATAATTCTTCCTGAAGCGGACACAAAATTTAGATTTCCTTTCCTGCTTTAAATCTGAATATCCGATAGTTAACCGTAAAAGTAAAATTATAATAGAGCCTGCATGAATTTTAGGAAGTGACAATGTTTGTGCACTGAATACACCGCTATATTTTTTGCGTATTTGAACCGTCGGCACACATGATAAAATCATTGTATGCGCTGGAATGTTCGTCAAGCTAGGTTTTAATCTATAATTATTTAATTTAGTGAGACCACGCAGGTCCTTAGCGCTCATAATCAAAGTATAATCATTTCGTACGCACCAGAATGTCTGTCCAGCTAGGTAGGCAGCATATATACGTAGGTTTGCGCTACATGCAGATTCTTCACTCATAATCAAAGTACAATCATTACGTACGCACCAGAATGTCTGTCCAGCTAGGTAAGCAACATACATACGTAGGTTTACGCTACATGCAGATTCTTCACTCATAATCAAAGTACAATCATTAGGTACGCACCAGAATGTCTGTCCAGCTAGGTAAGCAACATATATACGTAAGTTTGCGCGACCATGCACCACCTTCGTTCATAAGCTCCAGCTTAGTGCGTAGGCTAAGCCCAACAAGAATGCTACCTCGTGGCAGCGTCAATGGAAGCTTCCCCATAGCGCATCTTTCATAGAACTACGCGCCCTCTGTCGGTAGGTTTTCGTTGACAGATCGCAAACTTCCAAATAATGCCTACACCGCTTGCTGAGGACCAAAAGCTAACGCAATCGATAAGTTTGATTGTATGTATGCTTTGTCAAGACAAACGTGTTGTGATCCACAGATGTAGGAGTAAAATTGAGCTGTATGGCGCCATTGAGTGTGGGTGTTTCGCTATCTATTAGATGACGATGTTACTGAGATTTTTTCCCAGTAAATTCCAAAGTATATATTGTGAGTTGGAGACATGGGATAAAGAATTCATAAGCAATTTCGCGAGGAAAATATATTATATAGATTTTTGATATCACTGTTCAAATTTGACGTTAAAACGAGCCCAACATTTCTAAAATTCAATCGTCCCATATAAGGCCGGCATTTAGCTAAACATGAATGAGAGCACTTACGTCTCAAGAATGGAGCGCTACGCTTATGCTTCACGAGCTCGAGATGTGTGAATTATTTTAGAATTCTTCGAAAGCGTCACAGGGTCCTTTTGAGCCCTGAGCCCCGGCCTGAACCGCGGACCGTGGATCTGGACTGCTGGCTGAACGGAATCAATCGTCCGGAAAATGACTAGCCGAGAAGAAAATTATTTCTCGGTTTAAGAGGAGCAGAGGCGAAGATATGCGATGTTGTCGTGTCTGGAGTTGATGAAGGCTGTTAAAAGTGAGGCATATAAGGTAGATTGGAGACGCTCTGGAATCCAACACGTGA